ACAGATTTTTGAAAGCCCCTCTGTACGTTTGATCCAGACAGGCATAGATTATTGGATTACATAGACTGTTAAAGAGTGGGAGTGTCTTTACTACTACTCCACCTGCATGGACCAAATACCAGTAACTTAATGAGCGGTTATCGCTATCAGCAGAATTTGGATAGCAAAACAGACAAATAAAGTAAGGGCCCCAACAAAGTACAAACACTCCAACGACAACCAATAGCATTCGAATAGTCTTCAGATCTTGAAGAAAGGCACGTCGTTGGTTCCGATCATTGCAGGTTTGACCCAGTTCCCCATTTCTCAGCATCTTCTGTCGTTTATGAACAACAACAAAAATAAGAGCATACATAACAAGTATGACCACGGTGGGTAGAAAAAATGCACATACTGCCAGAAAAGTATAGAATTCTGTTATCTTATTATCATCAACAGGACTGCAATGCTCCTCGCTTGTAGCCAAGATTCCCAGGCTTCCTGAATTAGGAGTGGCGGCGTAGGTGGCAAAGGCAGTTGTAAGCAACCAAATGACAAAGATAATTTTCAATGATTTGGAAGTTGTCATTCTGACTCTATATTGAAGTGGCTTCGTGATCTTGAGATATCGGTCAAAACTGATAAATGTCAGTGTATAAATAGATGCTGATAACGCGAAGGTATCTATCCACACCATAAAACGACATAGGTGAATAGACCTGGTACGTTGCCATTCACCATCCAAGGTGTTTTGGTACAGCTCTAATGGTTCTAAAATCATACCAACCAACAAATCTGCGATAGCCAGACAAGCAATAAAGTATTTATTTGGTTGATGAAGACTTCTTTCTCTCCAAGTCGCCACCAAAACCAATGTGTTCCCCAAAATTGTACAAATAGCGAAAGTAATTAATACGATTATTTGCACAAAATGAAACATTTCCATAAATACATCTAATTTCATCTGATCACTCTCCGATAACATCAATGCATCATCATCATCATCATTCATCATCTTGATCCTAAGGATTAGATAAGAAACCACTCTAGTCAGACAAATTGTAACAGGGTCAGCGTGCGCCATGTACTCGTCAATATTTCGTGTATATTTACCCCTTTTTAATTTCTTAATATTATATATATATATATATATATATATATATATATATATATATATATATATATATATATATATATATATATATATATATATATATATATATGTATATATATGTATATATATGTATATATGTATATGTATATACAGGGTGTATCAAAATAAACGCAATTCATCTTTTGTGCTTAATAACTTTCGAAATACTATTTCTAGTTAAACGTTTTTAGGCTTACTTCAAAGCCTGTTCTTTTCTCTTTCAAACAAACTATTATCCTTGTCTCCAATGCTAGTAATAATTGCACAGGAAAAGATTTAGTAAAACCTATCATTTTTAGTTGCTGTTTAATTATGCAAGTTTACTATGTTATTGTTTAGTCGGTTTAAATGTTAGAATTTTCTTCTTTAGACTTTAATGTTGTCGTCACTACATCTGAAAACCACGTAAGAACAAATTAAAAGTATTTTAAAAGAGACCAGGTTGTTTGAAAATCCTAAACGAATGCTAAAAATCATAGAATCAAAACATTCTGGTGTCTGAGCCAGAGCTTCATCGAATTGCGATGTAATGTAAACAGAAATTATAGCAAGCTGATGTCAGTCAGCTTAAATGGTCCAAGCCAAAATTATATCGCATTTGAAGTTTTAAACTGTGTTAAAAATAATGGAAGAAAAGCCGTAATTATACTTATTGTTACAATCCATTTATTAAAATGCAACATTTTTTGTTTTAATGAAAAAATGTTGCATTTTCCATCTCAATATTTTTAATCTCCAATCGCAATAACGTAAAGTATTATTACCCGCGAACCAATGAGTCAAATTTAAGAAACAACCCACTGTTAGAAAGCTGAATGGCGACGCTTTAAAATGAATGTAAACTTTAACGTATATACATATATACATATGCATCCTCCAATTTTTTAACGATAACTAATAGCTGTTTTGCGAATTTAAGAGCAAATTTCAAATCTGTGCACTTTTTTTATACACCCTGTACGCTGTTGAAATCCGTGGGAACGTCTGATTGGTTGATGGATTTCAGTATACTGGTTGCCATTGGTTACTATGGAATGCGGGTAATTATTGTTATCATGAGACGGTGTAGGGAAGGAAATTGAGGGTGGGTTAAAGGTTAATGAGGATGTATTAGCAGATTTGTGCGAGTGTTTCAGTTGTAAGTAAATTGTAGGGATGTCAATGTGACGGTTAATCCGAAGAACACTGTATAATTTTGCAAAAATTATAATTTAATAAAATGCCTGGATTACAAATCGTCAAATATATATATATATATATATATATATATATATATATATATATATATATATATATATATTAATGAGTGTCTATTAGCGCTAATGCAAAGCTCACTTCCCTTGTGGTCGTTTGAGCACTCTGGCCCCATTACGCTCTGCGCATGTTTGGATGCGTTGAGTCACCGTGTTGTACCACATGCCTTGGTGAGAGCATATATATATATATATATATATATATATATATATATATATATATATATATATATATATATATATATATATATATATATATATATATATATAATTTTGTAAGAAATAAAATTATATATATATATAATATTAAGAAATTAAAAGAATTTATGAAATAAATATACACGAAAAATTGACGAGTAGGCTACATGGCGCACGCTGACCCTGTTACAATTTGTCTGACTAGAGTGGTTTCTTATCTAATCCTTAGGATCAAGATGATGAATGATGATGATGATGATGCATTGATGTTATCGGACAGTGATCAGATGAAATTAGATTTTTGGGAAAGGTTGAATTTGCGAAAATACTCGTATTAATTACTTTCGCTATTTGTACAATTTTGGGGAACACATTGGTTTTGGTGGCGACTTGGAGAGAAAGAAGTCTTCATCAACCAAATAAATACTTTATTGCTTGTCTGGCTATCGCAGATTTGTTGGTTGGTATGATTTTAGAACCATTCGTGCTGTACATTCGTGCTGTATATATACAGGGTGTACAAAAAAAAGTGCACAGATTTGAAATTGCTCTTAAATTCGCAAAACAGCTATTAGTATCCAGTTTTTGATGTATATAGCTTCTTTGTGTACTTACAATGTAGAAAAATGGAAAAAATTTCTCGAACTCAAATTGTGTAAACCTGGGGGGTTTCCAACAAACTAAAAATCGCTTGTGCACGAAATTTAAAAGCTTTAATCATATTTTGAGGGTTTTTAATTTTGTTGGTTTTTTAATTACTGTACAAAATTTTCAGACAATTTGCTTTAGTTCTTACCCCTTTAACTATTCATTTTTCTCTAAAAAATTAGCCTTTCGCATGCTTAAATAATGCCTTTACCTAATTTGCATATTGCTGACATATGCAAATTAGGCAAAGGCATTGATTAGCATGCAAATGGTGATTTTTTAAGAAAAAATGTAAGTTTGCGTGTATTTGTATTTGTATTTAAAAAGAACCTCTGTTAGCTAACGCTAGTTTACACGAGGTCTTAAAAATAGGATTACCCTACAAGATAAAAAGTCTATAAATCTAGTTATTCTTAAAAATTACTAAAATACGTTAAAAGTTCAAATAGTTAATAAAAATTATATGAACCAGTCTAGCTGTTTAAGAACAGCAGACTTAAACATGGATTTGGAAGATATGATTTTTATAGTATAGTCTAAATTGTTCCATAGACGGATAGCTCTGGTCCTAAAAGCCCGAGCTAAAAAGGTTTTCTTCTTTAACATAGGTTTCTCTAACAACATATTATCACTTCGACACCTCGACGAAAATCTAGTATTGTGTTCATGAGTAATTTCAAGTGGTTTAAAATTCACGTAAATTGCATTTGGTTCACCAGAATAAAGTACATTATGCAATGCCACTAAGGTTCTGACATGAATCCTTTGTCTCACCGTTAACCAACCTATTTCATCATGGAGATTTTCCCTAGATATTTCATCAACCTTATATCCTAGGATCAATCTGGCGGCCTTGTTCTGAAGTTTTTGTAAATTATTAATCGACTCTTGATTTTGCGCAGATCCCCAAACCGTACAACAATAGTTCAATTTTGACAGTATGAGTGCCTCAGCGATAATCTTTAAAACTTTTGATGGAATATATCTGCTGAACTTGAACAGTAAGCCAAGAGCTTTGGAACAATCTTTAAGTAGATCTTCACAATGCTGCTTCCAACTTAAGTTCTCGTCAACCTGGACGCCAAGGAGTTTTACACATGGAAGTTGTTCAATGATTTTATCTTTAATGCATAAGTTAAGCGATGGAGCTGATTTAATCTTCTGCCGACTTCCAATAAGGATACTATTTGTTTTATCAGCATTAAGAACAAGACGATTCTTCGAGACCCATAATTCAACTTTAGATAAGTCAAGTTGAAGTTTATCTGATATGAGTCTGGCGTTATGTCCAGATTGGAACGGAGTGCTATCATCGGCGTACAAGGTGATATCAGCTGTAGTTAAGACTGTTGGTAAATCATTAACAAACAAACTGAAGAGCAGTGGGCCAAGACAACTACCCTGTGGCACCCCACAAGTCATCTCGATCGGATTAGAAAAAGCACCATTGATATATACGGTTGAGGTTCTCTCACTTAAATACGACTTGATCCAGTTAATCGCATTATCTGAAAAGTTATAACATTTCAATTTCAGAAGCAGCAAATTATGATCAATCAGGTCGAAAGCAGCTGAAAAGTCCAACAAAGCAGCACCAGTAAGCATACCATTCTCCATGTTGTCAAGGCAACTGTCAGTCAGATGTAAAAGTGCTGATTCAGTGCTATGATTGATTCTATATGCATGTTGATTCTTGAGCATTAAGTTATGTTCGGAGACATAGTGACAGATTTGTTTATGCGCAAATTTTTCGTGCAGTTTACTTAATACATTTAGAAGACTGATGGGTCGACTATTTATATCTTCAAAAGGCTGTTTCTTATCTTTGGGAATCGGGTGTAGTTTAGCTACTTTCCATTGATCAGGAAATATTGACTTCGCATATGAACAGTTAAAAATGTATCTAATAGGTTCCGCAATGCGAATTGTCTGAAATTTTGTACAGTAATTGAACACCCAACAAACTTCCCATCTGTTAACTCAAAATATGATTAAAGCTTTTAAATTTCGTGCGCAAGGCATTTTTATTTTGTAGAAAAGACACACCCCCTGGTTCGCAAAATTTGAGTTCGAGAAAGTTTTTCCATTTTTCTACATTATAAGTACCCAAAGAAGCTACATACATATAAACCTGGATACTAAGGATGGTACATATAAACCTGGATACTATATTTATATATATATATTATATATATATATATATATATATATATATATATATATATATATATATATATATATATATATATATATATATATATATAT